GCACAGGATACACATTACTATTCCAAAAGGAAGGAAAGGGAGCACAGTGAGAAAACCCTGGGCCAAAGCAAGACCTGAAACCAGCAGCTCCATGTCTGATATCAGAGTGTTCTTCAGATCGTCAACTCCTTTCAGCTTTGTTGACTGCAACAAGGAGAGGTCCACTGCACAGAGTCGTTCTCTGACCTCTGCACCCACACATCATTCTCCCCCGCCTCTCTCTCTCTCTCTCTCTCTCTCTCTCTCTCTCTCTCTCTCTCTCTCTCTCTCTCTCTCTCTCTCACACACACACACACACACACACACAACTACCACTACTAATACCACTAATAATTAACAGATATTTTAAAAGCATACAGCTGATACTGTTTGCCTGACTCTTCAGCTACTCTGTTGTTTTAGTGCTTCTATCTGGAAAAACTAGGCATTGGTACAGCAGGGAGCTTCCTGTTGGTCATTTTAGCTTTACTCCGAAAGAAAGCCAGTGAAATACCAGTGTCACCACTAACACTGGGAAGCAGACTCCACATCTTAAGTTTTAGTGACGGCTTCCTGTCAGAAGCTCTTCAACTTCTGTTTGAAAACAATCACTCGGAAGTGCATACCTCCGATGAATTCTGCGAAGTTGTAGCACAATCTGATTGTACGTCAACCTCCTGGAAAACAACATTTAACCAAACAACACAGAGAGGTTTATAGGAAGAAATTTATATCGGCTCTTTTCTCATGGTCCTGAGGTCAGGACAGCATCATCCACACCTCCAGGACAGGCACTTCCCTTGTCCTCACTCCCCAACTGGAACCATTCATTTGCACAGGCTGCAGAGGTCTGCCTGGAGGGTGACTTTGGGAAGACTTCATATCATCAGATATCCAAGGATACCCAAGGCAAGTCACATGGCCTTTCATCTGTAAAGCTCAGGCCACAAATCCCTCTGCTATTCCCAGACTCGCTGATCCTGCTAAATTTTGAAGCAAGAGGCCATGTCTTGACTGATGCCCTTCTGTTGTTTCTGTTTCCTTAGTATCATCCCTCTGCTGCTTCCCTACCTTCTGAGAAGACTGGGAACAGAGAAATAGACCTATGCAACATCCCTTTTTCTTGTCAGACTAAAGGCATCATGAGGACAAGTGCTGAGTGTCTCTTGTTCAGCAGAGTATCCCACACACCTAGCTGCCAGCCACTAAATACATGTAAAGATGACTAAATATCCCTGAAAGGGTAAGTGACCTCAGGGACACTGCACTAGTCAGTTTTCCACTGTTATAACATACACCAGAGATGATCGGCCTATGAGAGAAAAGTCCATTTTACATCACTATCTTGGAAATTGAGGTGTATGTACATACTGTTTTCTAGGGTCTGTCATATGTATTAGGAGCAGACCAGGGAGTGGTTACATGATGTGCTCATGCCAAGAAACACAATACAGGCATTAAGGAGAACCTGAGGAAACTGGGGATGGGGGTGGGGAGGAATGCCTTTAATCCCAGCGCTCAGGAGGGAGAGGCTGGCAGATCTCTGTGAGTTTGAGGCTAGTCTGGTCTACAAAGCAAGTATCCAGGAGAGCCAGAACTGCTACATGGAGAAATTCTATCTCAAAAAATAAAACAAACTGAAATCGAGTAGTTTGATATTTAGATTTGCTTTTTAAAAACAACTTGGAGGAGGTGCTGAGGAAATGGTTGAACAGTTAAAAGCACGTGCTGCTCTTGCAGAAGGCCTGGGTTCAGTTTTTAGAACCCACATGGGTCTCACAATCACCTGTAACTCCAGCTCCAGGGGCTCCTGCTCCCTCCTCTCACGTTCCTGGGGATTGTGTGCACATGGTATACTTACATATACCCAGGCAAAACACTCAAAAAGATAAAATAAAAATAAGCAACTTTTTAGTAAAAATGCTTTTCAAAGTCCAAGGCTTTAGTAAATGTCCTAAACAGCTTGGTGTCACTTGTATTTAAAATTGTATTTCTGGTCGGGTGTAATGGCATATACCTATAACCCCATTCTCTGGGAAGTAGAGGCAGGGGGATCAGTAATTCAAAGTCATCCCCAGCTATGTACCAATTTCCAGACCAGCCTGTATTACAGAAGACCCTTCTCAAAAGCAAAACAAAAAAGACAGAAAAAAATGTGCTTCTATACATTTACATATGTGCAGAGTCATGGGAAAAAGTCTGTCTTAAATGATCTTTCCAAACATGGCGATCTCTGGAAGTATAAACTGGAAAATGAGTAGACATGAAAGGAGTCTTTTAGCTTTCAATTCATATTCCTTTGCAATGCTTACGCTTTTAAAAATGAAATTGTACTATAGTTCCAGCAGCTCAGAAACTCAGACAGAAAAACTGTTCCAGGCCAGCCTTGTTATACACAGGAACTTTGTCACAAATAGACCCCAAGGAGCAACGTGAGATTGTATTCACACGTTTTCCATGGATTATGGATTATTTTTTTCATATTTTGTATTTATTCATTCATTCATTCATCCATTTATTTATTTGTTTATTCATTTTTATTTTAACACAGGGTCTCTCTGAGTAGCCTTGGCTGACCTGGAACTCACTATGTGATTGAAGCTGCCCTTGAACTCACAGAGATCTGCCTGCCTCTACCTTCCAAGTGCAGAGGTTAAAGATGTATACCACCACACACAGCCATTTCTAATTTCTGAAAATTTTAAGTCAATACAACATACCCAGGAATGCCTCCCCTCTAACAGGTCCAAAACACAAGAAAATGGTACAGTATAACCAGCCTTCCATATCCAAAGTCTTTAGATGCATTGGTCTTGACAGTCTCAGATCAAAAGTACTTAGGAGAATTCTGTTGCTGACAGGTGTGGTGGGTTTGGCTGTGTTTTTTATGCTGACCATGAAGAATTTCCTCCTCCTTATCCACTAAACACTCAACACAATCACAACATTGGTGGCATTTATGTTGTGTGAGGATATTATCAGCAATCTCAACATGATTAAAAAGTACAGAGGAGGGCTTAGAGGTTAAGAGCAGTGGCTGCCCTTTCAGAGGTCCTGAGTTCAATTCCCAGCAACCACATGGTGTCTCACAACTATCCATAATGAGATCTGGTACCCTCTCTTGGCCTTCAAAGATACATGCAGACAGAACAATGCATATATAATAATTAAATAAATCTTTTAAAAAACATGACTATGAAGATGGAAGTAATTTGATTGGTCACATTTTCATTAAAAAATACAGAGGAAGCTGTGCATGGGTTACATGTAAATAGGACAAAATTTTATGTAAGAGTATTGGTGACTGCAGATATTGGTGTCTGAGGGTTTATGGAACCAGTTCCCTAAAGACATTGGAGGTTGTATATTAATTTGAGAAAATTAGTTATCTAGTCTGTTGCCATAGCCAGAGGCTCTTAGGCATAAGCAATACTTAGGAAGAAAAAAATCATTGTCTTAAATCCTGTTAAGTGAAAATTATTGAAGGCCATTGTTTTGGAAATAGCAACCAAGTTATTACCTACCCTTCAGAGAAATCAGGAAAGAGCCAAATTTTCCCCCAAAGGCCAGTTTTAATCAGCATGATAATTAAGTTCCTTCCATTTAATCCTTACAAAAACGTAGCCTAATGTTAGCAGATTATTTTCTGGTGTTCTGTCTTAGCCAAGTCCTACAAGAATAGTATCTAAACTGACCCTTTTACTGGCTGTGAAAACAGTCCCTCACTCAGCTCTTTGGGATACTATTTCATAGACCTAAGTACATCCCCATTCCAGAACGAGAAATCAAGCCAATTAAGATCTTACCAAATGTGTTGTAATTTTGTCTTTTGATAGTCTATTCCCCGGAAACAGTCTGGCTCAGAGTCATTGGCTACCTCATGCTAGGGAGTATGTTCAATCAGGAGCAATGCCCAGGAGTAGCGATAGTGCCACAGGGAACAGAGAGACTGAACTCTCAAGGCAGTTACTGTGGAGGCTTCCATCATATTCCTGGCAATGCTGCCACTGGAATGTTCCAGCAAGTGTCCCTTTCCTATCCAATAGGCATTTAGTTGGGGCTGCTTCAGGGTGTAAGCATGCCACTGAACAAAGCCATGCCACTGAGGAAGTAAGCCAAGACTTCTAAAGAATCCTAGTTTGGACAGGGGGCTTGGTTATTCACCGTAGAACCACTCTGCCATCCCTAGCTTGACCTAGAGGGTGACAGCTGGACAAGGGGCATTGAAAGAGCATGGCTTGAGGCAAAGGGATCTCTTTCCTGGTACACTGATATCCAGCAACACTTTCCTGAAGGAAGGAATGATGGCTATCAGCCATGGCCTAGGCTCCCGGAATCTCAGGTTGCTGAGTCCCTGTTTCCAGGTAAGGGGTGCCCAAGGCTGAAACCCCACACAAGGTAGAAGTCACCTTAGTGAATTCTGGGCACTGGACTTTGATCTCACCCTGTTGCAGCAGTGTGAAGAAGACCCTGGGGACAGCCGGGAGTTGGCAGTTTTCCAGGAGATCGTCAGAGGAAGAGAAACGCAATAGAGGGCCAGGATGCTGCTGTGTGTTCAGAAGGCAGTCCTTGGGGAAATGGTACCAGTGCCAAACGCAGAGCTGGAGGAGTGAGTGTGTGGTCTAAGGTGCTCCTAGTGACTCTAAGAAGCCACGAGACTGTTGGTGGCAACTAGTATGAAGCCTCCAATGTCCTAGGCTGGTGTTTCTCAAGCTGCAGTGTGAAGACAGACTACCTAGATCTTGTTGTGATGTGGATTAGGCTTCCGACTGGAAAGAAATTTCAAAACTGTTTCTGCCTTCTAGTTCAGGGATCATACCCACAGTAGCTGAAGTTTGAGGGGGGAAAACCGATTGTAAATGGGTAACACTGGGTTAGGTCACAGTTGTCACCCGTCACAGTCCCACCCCCATTCCTGATTTGTGTGGAGCCCTGGGCTAAGGGCTTTAACAAACTTATTGATTCTTTGGCAAAAAATCCCTCCAAACAGCTACCTGATACCCTCCCACCCCCATTTACAGAAGGACCAGAGCCCAAGGGAGACGAAGTTAGCAGCTGCTACGTGATGAAGCCAACTCTGCGATCGAGGTCCTCAGAACCCTGGTACTGATCTTTTAGCCTCTGTGAAGAACAGGGACCCTTTCCTGTGTGAATCTGCCTTCTGGAAGGACCAGTGCTGTCTAGCTTGGTGAGGAGAGAAAGGCTTGGGGCGGAGGGCGCTGCTAGCGCTTGTCTAGCATGTAGGAAGTTTTGGGTTTGATCCCCAGCACCAGATAAACCAGACTTGACTGGCTACACAGTGAGTTGGAGGCCAGCGAAGGACCTCTCTGGTCCTCATCAGTGTGCTCGAGGCCAGGGCGGTACCGCCCCGGTGCTGAACCACAGTGGGCAGTGGGCCCTTGGCAGCTATCCCAGTCTTCCGCAGCTAGGGCCCGGGCGCCACCTGCTTGGCCCCAGTTGCCGGCCCTCTTGCAGCTGCGCACTCATTGCTCCCAGCAGCTCCTCTGCAAGCACCCGCATTCTCAGACCTCAGCATAATGTTGCTTAGCTCAGGCTTGAAACCCAACCTAAATTCACCCCCTGGGCATGCAGGCACAGGCGCCAGATGCTCTTCCCAAGCAGAGCTGGGGTAATGGGAGGTGACAGGCTGTGCGTGGGGACCTGGAGCCAGGGGCTGAGATGCTGACAGCCAAGCACTCCTCCTTGGAAGGAGACCCGCAGCAGGAAGGGGTGGAGCCACGCACTGCGCCCCTTAAGGGCGCGATCACATACCTTCAAACTTCACTCTTCGCTCTCTGATGTTCCACTTCCCTCAGAGGTTCATTTGTGTAGCTCCCCTTCCTCGGGGAGGGGTCTCCAGCATCACCTTCAAAGTCCACTGCAGCAACCCCCGATATCAGGCTTTGTGGGAATTTTCTGGGGAGGAAAATAAATTGAGGTCACGCTGGCAACAACAACAACAAAATTCCATTCAGCCCATTCCCTTCGCCCAGCCCATCTGGCACCTTTGTGGGAATAGAAAAGGTACTTCTCTCGGGCAAGTCAGTGAACAGGGTCAGGACAGGCAAGGGAGGAAAGCGCACAGCCAATGAAAGGGCTCCTGACTTGGCGAGATGGCCCAGCTTTCAGGGTTAACTGGTGCCTAAGGGCGGTGAACAACAGATAAGATGCCAGGTCGCTTATTCTCCTTTTGCCTTTTCTTCATCAACTGTTAGCTGAAAACCTATCCCCGCGACTTGGCCCTCCTACCCTCTGCGGCTACCCTCTATCTCCCTACTGTAGGAACCCAAAACCGAAAGATGAGTAAAATGCTATCCCTGACTTTGAATCCCAGGGAAGAGGCAGACAAGTACATGGATAAACCCACCAGGGTTTCTGATGTTTAGGGCTCAACTAGGATAAAGTAAGGTTTCTAATGTTTAGTGCCAAACCATGATTTAGACTTCACACAGGACTCAGACCCTTGGAGTCTTTCCCTTTAAAGCCCAACCCAGTAGCGAAAGAGTCTCAGGACAAACATTCTCCATCCACATCCACAGTCCCTGCTTTGCTGTAAGGTACAGAGAGAGAGAGAGAGAGAGAGAGAGAGAGAGAGAGAGAGAGAGAGAGAGAGAGAGAGAGAGAGAGAGAGAGAGAGAGAGAGAGAGAGAGACCTTGGTTATCTCAGTCTTTCCATTGCGTGTCTGGAAGAAGGTTGAATGATTTTGCTTTATTAGGGCATCTGAATGGGGCCCATTGAGAGGAGAGGAGGAGACAGAGCGCCAGGGTTCTTTATGGAGGGAGGCTAGAGTGAGCGTCTCGGGTACTTATATCTGTTAGGAAAGGTATTGGGAAAATCTCTACTCTGGAACACAGCCCACGCTCTCCGTTGCACTTTGCATCTTGAGCTGCCTTTTAAATTGTCACAGGTCAAAAGCATAAGTGCTAGAGGTAAGGGAACCCCTGAGAATAGAAAACCTCCAGTATTCGCACTGCTTCTAGGGAGCTCTTGGGATCCTGGACCATGGAACCAAGGATTTGGGATATTTCAGCCAAAGCTGGAGAGCTGGGTGCCCCAGCAATGATGTCTGGGCATCTGTTGGACATGCTTTCAGCTCAGGGTCATGTTGAAATACATAGAGCAGTTCAGCAGGTAGAGGGGCAAGGCTGGCTGGCTAGGAGGCAGCAGGGAGTGACAGAGACTTCACTGCAGAGTGCAGGAACTATCCCAAGAAAGCAAGCCAACACGCTAGACAGTCGCATAGAAGAGAAGCCAGAAATGCAAATGGCTGGGGGAAAGAAAACAAAACTCATCTTAAAAGAGAACTACCCTGGTACAGTACTTGCCTACCATAGATAAGACTCTGGGTTTGTGAACATCAATACTACACAAACTGACTGACGGGGTGGGAGAGGGTTCACATGACTGTAACCTTAGTGCTTCGGAAGTAGAGACACAAGGATCAGAAGTTCAAGGTCATTCTTGGCCTTATAGTAATTTTGAGGCCAGTTTAGATTACATGAGACTCTCTCTGTGTGTATACAACTATATATGTATATATGTGTATACAACTATATATGTATGTGTGTGTGTGTGTGTCTGCATATGCACACACAAAACTCAGAAAATATTTTTGATCCTCAAGAGTAGGACAAAAGATGCCTTTAGCTGAACGGTGGGGGAATCTAGGTTGAAGATGGACAAAGTCAGGGACAATATTCCTTTTTAGAGTATGTACTGGTACCATTGGCACTGCTTAAGGAGATGGGAAGGAAAGGTCTGGCCTGTGAGTCCCAGACTGGGCTGTAGCTCTGATCTGTTGTGGATTGTCCATGTGACTTCATGAAATAATTTACAATCTTGGGACTTACTCTCACTCTTCAAATGGAGGTATTTAGTAGGGCTCTCTTGATAACTGGAGATTCCATGTATGGAGGGGACAGAAAGTTTGAATAGTGGAACAATAATCTGCTTTCCAAAAATATTGAATATATTTGTCATGTGTCTGTGAGGTATGTTGAATTGAGTATGGAATTCTTATTTCCTCTACAAAAGTCCACGTGAACTCCAAAGGCCTTAATAAAGTCCACCAGAGAACAATGCTTTTTTGTTTGTTTGTTTGTTTGAGACAGGGTTTCTCTGTGGTTTTGGAGGCTGTCCTGGAACTAGCTCTGTAGACCAGGCTGGTCTGGAACTCACAGAGATCCACCTGCCTCTGCCTCTTGAGTGCTGGGATTAAAGGCATGCACCACCACCGGCTAGCTGAGAACTGGCATTTTTGTAAAGAGAGGCGGGTCCTGCCGCAGGTGCCTTGTGGCTGCATGCATGAGCAGGTGATCTGGGCTCTGGAAATGGTAGGAGAGGAGCTGGCAGTTTGCACTGCTCCAACTGCACCCTCACTGACATTTGTTCGATACTACCCAGCTATCGCAGAGGAAATGCGGGTGGGTCCTGCATCCTTTATCAGCTGAAACCCTGAGGAAAATCTGCGGTAGGATGTCACAGATGCTCTGAGATGAAATACAGATGCTCTGAGATGAAATGATGTCTCCCTGAAAATTCATGAGGCATGGCCCATTGCCCTGCTGGTTGGCAAACCGCCTCGTGCTGCATCAAGACCCCTGTTTCCTCCCTAAGGCCACTCAACTTTGGGCTTTATCCTGATCTCCAGGACAGCTGAGCATTCATTGGGGACATTGGGGGTGTTATCTGGGGGTCTCATGATCTGGGAAGGTTTGCTGGTAGAGGTGGGTGGGGGGCACTAAAGCAATCTTGTTTCTAATTTAAATAAAAAAAAGAAAAAAAAAACAAGAAACAACCCAAACAGAGCGCTGGGATTGAGTCATTTTAGGAGGCAGCACTGTTTATGGAACATTTCGTCCCTGATAGCTACTGTCACATTCTAGTCATTAGACACATTTACTCGTGGGTTGTAGAAATGACTTCCCATGGGAAACGAAGGCAATTCCCTTTTCAAAGGATGCTTTGTTTTCCAGGAGAAGAAATCGAAGCATGTGACAGTGAGGAGACCGAAGTCTGAATCCCCTGTTGAGCTAGTCCTGGTTGGAATCCACAAGGCACGGGCATATGAAGAAATAGCCAGGAACTGATGATGTTGATGATGATGATGATGATGGTGGTGGTGGTGGTGGTGGTGGTGGTGAAACCACTTATTGAGCACCTTCTGCATGTCTACATCTGAACTAAACCATTATATGGCTGTCTCAAAGGCACTATTGTTAACCTCATTTTATAGATGAAGAAGCTGAGAAGTCAGATCTATCTGCTCAAGACAATGCAGCTAGGGACCTGCTCTGTCCAGTTCTGACGCCCATCCCTACAGTGCTGACCTCTACATTTTAGTGTACCCTGCACTTAATAGATATTTCCCTTGTCACCCTGATGTAAAACGTCCCTCCCTAAAGCCCACAGGAGTGAGGAGTAAACAAAATAAATAGGACACAAACCAGACAACAAAATGGGGGAGAGCCACGTGGCTTCAGCTTTAATCTATTACATCCATTAGGCGACAGCTGCTTCCTTTCGGTCCCCCGGATGCTGACACCAAGCGCTTAAGATGTCTGCAAATTAAAGTGGGGCCGCAGTGGTGTCCGAGGATGCAGTCCAGCTCTCTGCAGCTCTGGCTGGCCAGCCCGCACCCCATCCTTGCCTTGTTAGCATTTATATGAGGCCTCTGGCTGCAGAGCCAATAGATGGAGCCGGGCAGCCTCACACTTTCCCATTTTGATTAGTTACAGTGAAGCCTTAATAACTGGCCTTATTTCTTCCCTTCACACCTGACAGCATGCCAGGGACTCCCTGGGCCCTCCTTGCAGTCTAGCATCAAGTCTTGGATCCAGCCCACCTGAGTGATAATGATTAATTAAAGCCATCCATCCTTTTAGCCCATTTTCCAGTTTTTGGAGCTTTGAAACCCACTCTCTTGTTTGCAGCAATATAATTAGACTGTGGGGGCCCCGCTAGAAATCTATGTTGCTGCTACCCATACCACATCTTTCTTTTCTCTCGAGAGCTGAGGCCGGTGAGCTGGGCTCCAGGAGGCTTTGGTTTGGGGCTGATTTTAGAAGGATGGAGATGTGTCACTCCCTTTTTCCTTCTGATGTTAGCAAGTTGATAGAATGATAGAGGCAAGGCCCCTAGTGATGCTGTCCCCTAAACCTGGGTACCTCCCTTTGGGTATCTTCTACTTCCAAAGTGAGGATTTAAATTAACCCTTTAGGGAATTTCTCTATGGCAGGGCCCTCCTGATGACATGACAACTGCTTTGTCCTTCCCTGACACTGGGACATTCACTGGACCCTTCTCAGTTAGTTTGCACACCTTTAATCCCATCGCTTGGCAGAGGCAGGTGGATCTCTGAGTTTGAGGACAGCTTGGTCTACATAGTGAGTTTCAGGATAACCAGGGCTACATAGCGAGGTCCTGTCTATATAAATAAATACATGGACTGTGGTCCATAGGGTGGTCAAGTACGTTTGTGAAGCTTTGAAGTTACAGAGGGAAGCCAGAGTTGAGGAACTCCCAGAGTTCCCTGGGGACAGGGAACACCAGAGCTGAATTGCCCTACAAAATATTTTGTCATACTGAGAGTCAAGAAAAGGGCGGAAAGACGCACTGGCAGCAGGGGGAGAGATCAGAGCTGATAGGTTTGGGTAGGGTGCTTCATCACAGAGTCCAGGATTTAGTGTTAGGACCTTGCAGGGCTGTGACTTGAAAGAAATTCCTTTATCTCCTTATGGTCACTAAAGTCACCTGCTATCATGCATGAAGTGAGGGTTTGTTCTGTGCAGGAGCAAAGGATAGCCTCTGTAGCCAGGGATGAGGGGGAGGGCAGCAGGATTCGAAGAATAGAGCTTCCAGAAAAGCATAGCCCCCAAAAGAACTTCCGGGCATAGGATGGGGGAAGTAGATGAGAGATTCAAGACTAGAGATGACACATGGGAAGCCCCGACCACAGCCCTCTGAGGTAGGCTGAACAAATAATTGGATAACACTACTATACAGGTGAGAAAACCAAGACTTGGCCATGGTGCCACACCTGCCCAAGTCCACACCGCTGACAAATTGGGAAGCCCAAATAGACTCAAAACTTTATTCTATCCCCTGCTATAAGCTTCCTAACCACTATTTGTTACTATGAGATAATCAAAGAAAGTCTTTGGAAGCTAACCTGGACTACATAGCAAAAGTCTATCTCAAAATACCAAGCCTACTAACACACAAAAGGCAACCAGGCAAAGCTAAACAATGGGACCGGAACAACTTCTGCACACTGCCACCACCCTTGGCCCTCTGCCTACTCATCATGACATCTATGAATGGGACCTGAAGCTGCAAGGGGAGGAGGAGAGAAGCCACTTTGACACAAGGGACATTTCTGGAGCAGAAAACCTGCTTAAGACACCATAGCAGCAAACACTGGGTGACTGAGGGAAGAGCGTGTGTTTAGTGACATGGACTCCTGCTTTGTCACTCCTGCTAAATGTAGTCATCTCTCAGCCTCCTCACTGTATTGATTCCCTTTGGGGAAATCATGAGTCTTCTAACTTGAGACGATTCTTAACTGTAACCTTCATTTGTATCCTTCAGCCTTGCCCTACGAACCCTTTCCTTTATTCCGGTTGGTACTGTCAGCTTAATACTTCAAATCAACTATTCATGGCCAGGGATAGGTTCTTCATGGGTGCTTGCTTACTGGGTAATGGTTGATTACTGGGTAACGGATGATTGGTTCCCTGATGTTTCTACCATGTAACTTGTGATTGTCACATGCTCCTGAACAAGAACCAGGCTGAGCTGGTACCATCTGTCATTTGCAGGTGGCCTCATGGGTACATTTCTTCCAAGCAGCTGTTCTGGTAAGTAAGCATGGTGCTACCTCCTGATGACTTCTGTCCCTGGAGCTGTCCCCAGTGACTGCTGTCCCAGAGGCTAAAGCTTAATGACTTCATTCCCTATAGCAGTCTATGGTGGCCGCTGTCCCTAGGGGCTGCTCCCAGAAACCTGCCTGATGCCAACAAGGAGTCAGCAATGTTCCCACAGAATTAGAGACTAGAAAACCCAACAACCTCTGGACTGGAAGAAGACTTGGGGGAGGGGTACCACACTGTCTGACATGACCCAACTCAACCAAATCTGTTGTCCCCATGGAACCATTACTAGCACCTTCTTTGCAATCTCAAAACATCACAGCACGGATGACAAGTGACCTAGAATTACCCTACTTAATGGTTATCTAAGATCATTGTTTTCCTTGTTCTTATTTTGCCTCCCCCTCTTTTTTTGACTGAGTGATATCCCTGGAAAAATCCATCTTCTCACTCTGTTTATTCCCCAAAGACACCTGGATAGTTGTATAACTGTCTATAATACAGCAATGGACATGAGAAGGCAAGGATCTTTTTGGCATAGTGACTTCATCTTCTTCGACTATATACCCAGTAGTGGAATTGCTGAGTCATATGCTCTCACTCAGTTGCGGAAGGCAGTAAGTTAGCCTTAAAGAAGAAGATAAAACCGTGACTGCTCGAGACCGGGAAGGGCAGTGGGGAGGGAAGGCAGAGAGGAACCCAATAAAAGGCCAGAAAACACTGAGTGGGAAACTCACATCCCATTGTTCTTCAGCACAGTAGCTGAAGAACCAATAGCCATTGGTTAAAAAACTCCCCATGTTGTATAGCTGAGTATAAAATTTACCATACATAAAAATGATTAAGAATGTGCCCAGCGTTGGTGGTGCATGCCTTTAATCCCAGTACTCAGGAGACAGAGGCAGGCGGATCTCTGTGAGCTCGAGGCCAGCCTGGTCTAAAAAGTGAGTTCCAGGACAGGCTTCAAAGCAATACAGAGAAACCCTGTCTCTAAAAACAAAAACAACAAATAATAATAATTAAGAACTAATAAAATGCTCAGCAAGTAAAGGTACCTGACCCCAAGGCTGAAGACCTGAGTTTGAGTCCCCAGACCCACAAGGTAAACAGTAGATTCCTGCAAGTTATCCTCTGACCTCTATATCCCAAGCCTTGGCACAGACAAGCCCCAAGTCACTAGATCGATAGATAGATAGATAGATAGATAGATAGATAGATAGATAGATAGATGAGGTAGTAGTAAAGAGATACAAATGCTCATTTCTCTGATTTGGCCATTACACATTGTAGTGTACTGGTATAATATACCCATACAATTATACAATTTAAAAAATTAAGTATCCCCTTTAAAGATACACGGTCTATGGGATGAATGGTCATGTGTCCAAAACCATTGAGTTCACACTTGGGAGGCCCAAGTTCACAAGGCAGCAATGGGAGAATTGTTTTATGCTGAGGTAAGTTGGCGTGAACTGTATACGTGTTGTTAAAGTAAACAGGGCTTGGGGACAAGTGCCTTTTCTAGAGTCTGTATCCTCGAAAATATTTGGATAGACTTCATTAGTTCTGACAGGCAGCCCCCAGAAAGCCAAACAGGAAGCAAACCCCAGGCCCTGGAATAAAATAAACACTGTCCTTCACAAAGGCTCCCTTTTGTCTTAGGTCTCCCCCTGAAGTAAGAGTTGGCAAGTCTAAACTGAAAGAAGCTCCTGTCCCTGAGGCACACGGCTTCTCCTAGCCAGGCCCTGGGTCATTTCAACATCTTCTTTTTCTATGTGCTCTCTCCTGCCCTCACCTGGACCCAGCCAGGCAGTATCATCAATCCCGCGGGGGTATCAAATTCAAATGACACAGCCACATCAATCCTTACAGCCTAAGGAAGGCCAACACCAGGCAAGACTGTGCCCAAGGTAGCTGGGGTTGTCTTCTAGGTGGAGGCAGAGGTTTTCCTCTGTTCATTTGCTGTGGGGTTTGTTTTTCTTTATATCTTAAACTTGTTTCCATGTGACCCAAGCATCGACTGTTTCTCAGGAAAGCAAGGACCTGCAACCTGGCACTATACAAACCATCATGGGCCTTCCTGGTGTTGAAAAGAAAACAACCTGATTGGGGGGATACACTGGCTTGCCCCTGCCCTTCCCACCTGCTGACTCACAGTATTTGCATAGCTGGGATTCTCAGGAAACACCCAGATCCACCTGTATATCTATGCAAAGCATTTTCCCCTGTGGTTGGCAGAAAGAAGAAACGGCATGGTAGACTCCAAATCTGCAGAGCCTGGCCCTTAGCAACTCAGCAGCCATGCTG